TCGCCGTGCCCGGCGGTGGAGGGCAGGCTGAGCGCGGCCACGTCCCCCTTGTCCAGCTGCGAGCAGAGAGAGGAGGGCGATGCTCAGGGGAGGGAGCGAACGCCCAGGCAGCCCTGGGGAGGGGGCAGGAGAGGAACGGGGTGGGGGGCAGAGGAGGGAGAGGGAGGCAAGAGCTGGGCGGAATACTTAACCAGAGCAATAGTGAGAAGTTGGGTTTTTTCCATCTGGTTAAGCATTTCCCAGCCATACCGCTACTGCTGGCATCCCAGGAACAAGCCAGTTAAGAGGGCGCAGCAGCAAAATAATCAGGGTTTCCGGGCTGGGTTGGGGCAATTGCTTTCAGCGCGGAGCATCCGCTGTCGGGAGCGCGACTCTGACTTTCCGCCCTCGCTCTGTGCAGAGATGGGCACCCGCGTTTCTGGGCTGCTGGACACCCAGTGCCAGCCAGGGAAAAAGGAGCGAGGAGCTAAAACTGGAACCCATCATCAAATCTCCCACCAAAGCAGCAGTGAGAGCAGGGATTGAGCAACCCGGAGGTATTTTAGTCTCCTTTTCAGACTTTGGCTTTTAGCCTAGATGCACACAGGGGTTTTTCAGCTGAAGAAAAACCCTGCCGTAACCCCATTTGCAGGTTACTCGGGAGCAACTCCTGATCCCCAGAGAGCAGCCGGCTGCAGGTGCAGGGACTCCTTTGCTTTCTTTTCCAAAGTTTCTCACCTGGCAATGCCAGACCCCTCTGCAAACACAAGCTGCCACCTAGAAAGTTCAGACATGTGCTGATTTCCATTTTACAGATGGAAAAATCGGAGCATTGGGAGAGGAAATCACTTGCCCGAGGCCACACTTAAAATCACTGGCAGAGCCTGGACTGCAACCCAGGGTCCTGCCTTTCGCTTTCCGACCCAGGCACGCTGCTTTGCCACTTAAAAAAAATTACCACTAAATCTTTCCAGTTGCTGGGTTTTATATGCAGATTCTTATGCAAATATCAGTGGTTGTATAAATGGCTCCTGGCTTCTAATTAAGAGCTGCTTGAAAGTTAAATACTGTTTGGCAGACCTGAATAATTTCTAATTTCCATCACACTTTCCCCGAATGACCCTTTAATAGGGATAATGCTGCGAGATCATTACTTAGGAGTGTGTTATCACCAGGAAATGCCTTGCGCGGGAGGGAGGAATGTTCTCAAGATGCTGCTTATAAACACTCCTGCCTGCAGCAGGTCCCGCGTGGGGCTTGGAAAAGCGGGGGTGAACGCTGCCCTCCTGTTATTCCCTTGCGTCTCCTATTTCCCCGGTGCCGCTGTCCTGCCAGGAGCCCGGGGGTGTTGGTGCTTTGTGCAGGGGGTCTCCTCGCGGGGGTCTCAGCCTCCTCGGGAGGCAAAAGCAGACAAGCGCCAGCTCGGTGGGAGCGTCCCCCAGCCCCCTCCCCAAGGCTTTCTGCTCTCTCCATTGCAGCAGCGCTGCCGTAACATGGGGCAGGGGCTGGAGGGGGAGAGCAAAGGGGAAACCCAGCAGCCCCCAGCCCGCAGGCAGATGCGGGGCAGAGCTGGGAGCTGGATCAGTGCTTTTTTTAAAAAGAAAATAATGCCCGACAAACCTGCGGAGTTTCCAGACCTCGCTGCCAGGCTATTCTTAGCCGCTCGGCCAGGCTGGGCCCTCCAGCTGCCCTGCAAAGGGTTTTGCTTCGGTTTCTTATCAAGGGGCAGAAATTAGAAGCAGCAGGAAACAGACTTTTTGCTCTGATGCCCAATTCTCTGTACAGTAAGGGACAAAGTGGCTGTGGAAAAGGAAAAGGAAGCCCCGGAGATGCCGAAATGGGAAACCCCAACTGGGCCAGTGAAGGGGAGAAGTTACCCAAACTTTGTTTCCAAAGAGGGAAAGGGTTGGGAATCACCCAAACCTTTGCCCCTGCAAAGCCAGTCTTTTGGATTTATTTGTGGGAGTACATTTGGGAGGGCAGGGTGGGTGGTGAACAGCATGGATCTGATGCTGCCCGTACGTGCTGACGTGGCTGGGCTGAAATCCTTTCCCCAAGCACCGCTGAAAGCTCTGCTCTCTCTCAGACGCAGGGCACATCACAGGAAAGCCACATCAGGTTATTGCTTTGAAAACAACCAAAAAAAGACAATACCGATCTCTGCAGTATTAACAGACAGTGCCTGCTAAATCCCAGCAAGCCTAAATGACCGTGCAGTGGATTTAATCGGGGGATTAGTAAAAGCCACA